TGGTCATATCTATATGTGCCCCGAAATTGTTCAATATTCTCCCATTTCTGTGTACTTGTTTAGTTTTTAAACATTTAAGTATATCTTGTCTTTTGATGTTTTATGTTTTAAAAGCCTTTAACATTTTAAACTGGAGTGGTTTTAAAGAAGGGTTTTTGTAGCGTGTCTTTCCTTAGGCTTTGTTTATGATTATCCATCCTCTCAGGTTGAGAAAAAGAAAAATATAATGCTTATTCCAGCTAGCTTTGGGAATTTACTTTTGCAAATGCATTTCTTCATTTGGAAAATGGAAGCCAAAGCCCATGTGTCTAAACTACGCCACCAAGGTTCTTTGTACTACTAAATAATAATAAAATATCCCACTCCGGGGTTGTATAAGTGTTTGAGAACTGAGAAAAAAAAGTTTCTCCATTTTTTGTGGCATAATAAAGAGGGTATTTAAGTGAGATATTTTACTATGAATCATCATATTATTATGTAATTATTAACAAGTTCATTTAAAAGATGACCTCTAATATTATGTGTATGCATTCATTACATATGATGAATTTTTAACCTTTTCCATTTGACTACAGACATATGGTACTTAATTTACTTTCCTGACAACAAATTTAAAAATAATTTTATACTGTGTGTGGTTTGGGGACATAATATTTATTAAAAGCAAGATCGAAATTTGTATGTTGTCATGTAAAAATAGACAAAACTATTTTCATATTTCAACATTTGGTTTGCACTTAAAATAATTAGTGGACTTATTCTTAGAATTTTCTGAGAAGACCTTGTTTTCCTTCCTCAAACAATAGGCTATTCCCAGTTTTTAGAAAGCCAATTCTCTCGACGGACTTTTGAAATGCCAGAGACATGTTGATGTGTGATACAAGAAATCATCAGGAAAATGCAACTGATGAAGCTAGTGAAGAATATTTTGAGGTGAATTTTTAGTGTTATTTTAATTTTTAAACTTTTCATTAACTTGAATTTAAATATCCATGTTCTTTTTGTTTCCTGCCTTTCCAACGAAGCCCTGCTAGTGTCGGGTGTTAAGTATTCGGTGCTTACCGCAATCTCCCAAACGCTATTCCAAGAGAGAAGGTTGAGGCTCCCTGCTCATACAGAGACTTAAAGCCTCTGAAACCCTAAGGGACAGTCTTACTCTGTCCTGTAGTGTTGCTATGAGTTGGAATCAACTCACTGGCACTGGGTTGAG